ATCTGGTTGCTAACCTCACAGTCAGCAGTTCGAAACTACCAGCTGTTCCACGGGAGAAAGATGAGGCTTTCTGCTCCCGTAAAGATTTACAGCCTCGGACACCCTGTACAGGTTTGCTATGAGTCGGAACGAATTCCATGGCACATAACCACAATAATTTATAATTTAGGATGTGAAGAAACGGAAGCCTCATACAGTATTGATGGGGAAGCAAACTGGGTGAGCCCCATTGGAAGGTCCTCAAAATGTTAAACACAGACTTACCATATGGCCCAGCAATTCCACTCCTAGCTTTATATACCCAAGAGAAGTGAAAGCATACATTCACACAAACACTTGTACACAAATGTTAACAGGATTCACAAAGCAACCAGGAGGACGCAGAGAAAAAAGTCTGTAACTCTCACCTTCGTGGATCATGAACTTCAACAGCAAATTTTTTCTCACGGAAATATAAGTTCTCCAGTTGTTTCCATTGGAATAACTAAAAAATGAATAAGACAGAAAAGCCACAGTGCTTTAATTATTTTGATCCATTCTAACCCTATAGAGCACCTTAATAATCAAACGATTTTAGGTGCCCAGGAAAGCCTGCACTGATAAGGCTTCAAGTACAAATGTGTCATTCAATCATTTTACTCATCAAGTACAGTCAGAAAGCAATACTTTCTTTTTTTTTTTTTTGTGACAGTAATCTTTAGCTAGTAAGTTTCACCTCACAATAAATCTTCCTTGAAAGATGAAACTAGGCATTTGTAGGGGACCATGTATACTATTTTTCTTTTGATTCAACTTAGGAAAAGAGTGAACAGCGAAATCATGGTAGATTCCCGTAAGTATGCGCCTTCTGTTCAAAGATGTTGACTTCATGTTTCAATGGAAAACATTCAGAGATGTTTCCATAAGACCAGAGATTAGATTTCAAAAGAGTACAAAGTGAAAGTAAAACGGAGCCCAAGCCGAGGTAATTCTCCATTTCCCACCCACAAATGTTCCCCTACAAACCTACCTATGATGTGAAACTGGAGGCAGGAGAGCGAGGCAGACACTCCTGGGGCTCTCTCCCTTTCTGAACTTGAGCCCATTTTTGCAAATAGGATCTCGCCTCTCTATTTACACTACTGGCATTCTAGTGCTGTGCTGAGTGGTGTGTGCTACTTGGTGGGGGAGACACAAGCTTTTTTAGCGATGTGCTTCTGAAACCCAACTCATTTGGTAAATGGTTGCAGCTCATTCACAGATCTGAGTAAGCCCTGTAGTATTTCCAGAGGTCTTTCCCAATCTCTCATGCTGGATCTTGTACTAGCCTGAGCCTTAACTTGTACTTGTCAACTTGGACTTGAATTCCTCTTTCCTGCCCCAGTCATGATGAACAGAGAAATAATCACACAGCAATTTCATTCCATTATCAGACTGGGTTTTTAAATGATAGGCAAAGAATCTTAAAGGAGCATTTTAGTTGTCTAAATGGTAGGACGTTTTCAATAGCTCAGTTAGTGGTGAAGACCTTTCCTGTATGTAACACACTATCAGTAAAACCATTTCCTGAAGTACAGAAACGTTTGACAAACATATAAACTCATGTGTACTAGCAGTCATGAAACAATAGTGCTCAGACAGACTGAGCCCCCAGCCCGAACAAAGTAAAACGAACCAGCACACACTCCGAACACAGCCCTTCACAGCCCTGACATGCAGCCATCTGTAGCTACAACATTCATGCAAATTCAAAGAGGAGTTACTGGAAGTACACAGCTACATACCAATTTCCTAAAATGTCCGTAAACGTGAAGCTTTCATTTCTTTAAATCCACAGGTTCCAAAAAAGGGATTAAAATAGAGGGGAAACCCCAAGGTTCTTTCCACTTCCCCCCCACCTCCCTCTCCCAGCCGGCAGCTCCAGTGTGTTCCGAACTGAGTTTCATAAGACACTTATAGGTGTAACTCAGTTTCACACATTGAGCCTCCCTCCCACAGCCAACACACTCCTGACATCAGCAACTCGGTCAAGAGGCACCTCCCCAATCCAACTGCAGGCGTGCCCCGAAAGGAGAGCAAAGTTTTCACTAGGAGATTTCCCCAGAAGCCACAGACATTTTTAAATGGGGGTGCCGTTTGGATTTGGATGGGACTTCCTGGGAAGTGAGTTGCTGTAAATCCAGGCACAGATTTTACCAGAGGCTGTTTTTAGGGAGACATTTCTATCCAGCGTTACTCACCCCTGGACGTGAACAGGTTCTACAGGAAGAGTTACAACGCAGCTCAGCTGTGTTTTCCTTTGCGTCCATTCCCACACACACAGAAAAACCAGGGCTGGACGTGAAACATGATCTCTGAAAGCTACTCCCCCTGCCCCTTATCAGTTACAAATGTGAAATGCTATCTTTTTGACTCCATTCAGCATGTCCCTGCATTGAGGGCAAACATGCTGCCTGTGGGCATCAAAACCCAAACTCACTACTGACAGCGAATTCTGACTTACAGCAAGCTTACAGGAGAGAGTAGAACTGCCCCATAGGGTTTCCAAGGCTGTATAAACCTTTCTGGAAGCAGATAGGGACATTTTTTCCCAGGAGAGCGGCTGGTGGGTTTAAACCTTTTGATATCAGCTGAGTGCTTAAGCAGTGCATCACCAGGGCTTTTTCCTATAAGCACTAACCCTGCTTTTAAAAGGTGAAGGGCTTTATTCAGAGAAAAAAGAAGTTATGGGAACAAGACTGAATTTTTACCTCAGAAATTCCCAAATCAAATCTGTTGCCATTGGGTTGATTCTAATTCATAGCAACCGTGTGTGTTACAGAGTAGAACTGTGCCTTGGCGTTCTCATCGCTGTAATCTGTACATATGAGGCTTTCTGCCCCCAAAAGATTTGAAAACCAGCAATACAGGGTCGTTATGAGTCACAGCTCATAGTGACTGCCAGGACCTTCTTCCATGGCAATAAAAAGTTTATATAAAATGAACACTGTTGTTGTTAAAGTGTTGCTGAGTCAATGCCAACTCATAATGACCCTGTGTAGGGTTTTCTAAGGAGCATCTGGTTGGTTTGAACAACCAACCTTGTGGTTAGAAGTCCAGTGCTTATACTGCAACGCCACACCAGGACTCCAAAATGACCATTACTGTTGTTGTTGTAAAGTGACATCCAGTCAGTTCCAAGTTGCAGCGATCATGTATAGAGTTTCTGAGGAGTGGCTGTGGAATTGAGTTGCTTTTAGCAAGCTAGTGCTTATCCTCCAGCACAGCACCAGACCTATTTTATAGGAGAGTGGAGTATCCAGCTCCCAGTCCTATGAATAGCTCCGATTTTAGATATTGTATAACATTATTAGTGTACTGCTATCGTACTGTAGGATCAGCTGCTAACTGCAAGGCTGGCTGTTCAAACCCACCAGGTGCTCCTCAGACACTCTGTTCAGGGACACTGTGAGTTGGAACTGACTTGATGGTACTTAATAACAATTACAGGGCATGATGTCTTATTATAGGGTTTGTTATTATTGTTAAGTGCTGTTGAGCCGGTTTCAACTCATAACAACCCTGTATAGGAGCGGCTGGTGAATTTGAACTGCCGATCTTGTAGTTAAACTGACTTTATGGTCCAGTGCATTATCCCACGGCACCATACCAGGACTTCTATTATAGAGTTGTGTTGTGGTTAGCTGCCATCAAGTCGGTTCTGACTCATAGCGACCCTGTGAAGGGTTTCTGTGAAGCAGCTGGTGAGCTTGAACCATCGATCTTACAGTTTAAATGACCTTACCTTCCAGCACATTATCCAGCAGCACTACACCAGGATTCCTATTAGAGGCTGGTGGTGGTGATGGTGATGTGCTGTGGGGTTGGTTCTGACTCATAACGACCCTGCTTAGGGTTTCCAAGGCTGTAAATCTATACAGCAGCAAAAAGCTTCATCTGTCTCCCATGGACCAGCTGGTAGTTTTGAACTGCTGACCTTGAGGTTAGCAGGCCAACTTGTAACCACTACACTACCAGAGCTCCATAGGACTATCTATATACTAATAATTTGCAGCAATAGCAATGAAAGATAAAGACCTGTTAAGAAGGTTAAAAAAAACAACAAAAAACTACAAATTTGAAGTTGGAATTAACTTGGTGGTTTAGTTTTGCTTTAATTTCTTTGCAAACTACACTAGAATGAATAGTTGTGGAGGTGTGGTGTTGGAGGAGAACATTGAAAGTGCCATGGGCTGCCCATAGAACCAACAGATCTGTGTTGGAAGAAGTGCAGCCAGAGCGCCCCCTGTAGGCCAGGATGGCCAAACTTGGTCTCTCATACTTCAGACATATTGTCAGGAGGGACCAGTCGCTAGAGAAGGATATCATGTTTGGTAAGGTGGAGGGTCAGAGAAAAAGAGGAAGACCCCAACGATATGGATTGGCCAAATGTCATCAGCATCGATGGACTCAAGCGTGGCAACAGTAGTGAGATTGGCCCAGGATCAGGCAGTGTTTCGTTCTGCTGTCGCTATGAATCGGCACCAAATCAATGGCACCTAACATCAACAATACTATCAACAGGAGGAAGACAGTGGCTGGGATGAATTTTGAGAATGCAAAATTAGATACCGAGAAAAGATAGAGTGAAAAAGCAATATAAACAGTAGATTAACAAAGATTATCGAGAAACTAAAAGGGAAAGACAATATATCTTAAGAAAAAGAAAAAAAAAAGGTATATATTTTTTTAAATTAAGTATCCAGGGGCACTCAGCCTTTAACCCTACAACTGCGGAAGACCAAGGCCCTCTGTATGTGGGGCCGCTCGTTGGTGTTCAGGACCTAACGTGGGGGGATCCCATGCCTCCCCGCCCCCTACAGCCAGCCGCTCAGCTGCGGAGTTTTCTGCAAGCAAAGATATTTCTCAGGATGGGGAGGGGACCCCACCTGCCACCCCGGGTGCCTGCCTGGGGGAGATCTCGGGCTGAGTGGCTCCAGTTCAGGTGACAGGGGGAACTACTAGGCCACCCACAAATGGCACTCAGCCCAAGAGCGGTGTTCATGGTTCAAGAGCCCCCGTGGCCCCCAGCTAAGAAATTTCATTTATTAAATGTTGAGGCAGCCCCTAGCAAAAAAAAAAAAAAATTAAGTATCCAAAATTTAAAAATGAACACAGAAAACTGTGGATGACTCAAACCTTATTTTTGAAAGTGACCTTGTGTAAAATAGTATACTCAGAATAAATTTTCATCATCTTTAGACGTAAAGAAAGGTGAGATTTTTAAATAGTTTGTCACACATCATCACATGAATGGCATGAATGGGTTGACGATCTAAGCTGTTTTTGCTGAAATAAATAGTCTTTAGTTAGAGCTCACTCACTTTTTAAACTTTAAAATTAGAATAAGGAGTAACTATTGGTCTTCTCCCATCCAGAGCAAAGAAGACTGAAGAAAATCAAAGACTCAAGAAAACAATTAATCCAAAGAAATTAGTCTATGTGAATCCCAGCCTCCATTGTCCT